TGCTGCCCGACGTCCTCAAGAAGGTGCTGTGCAGGCAGCTGTGGCCCAGCGCCACGGAACGAGTGCAGGTACCAGGGGGGCGGGGGCGTGGCCGGGGGCCAGCAGCCGGGAGCTGCAGCCCTGGGGGCACGGGGGCGGGGGGGGGGGGGGGGCTGCAGCCCTGGGGGCATGGGTTCGGGCGGGGGCGTGATGGGTCACGGCGGGGGCAGGGGGGAACGCAGCTGGGGACACCGTGGCGGGGGCCAGCAGCCAGGGGCGCTGCAGCCCTGGGGGCACTGCGGGGGGCGGCGCCAGGGAGGCAGCAGGAAAGGTGGTCTGTCCAGTGTTACTAGTGAATTCCACAGTGACACGTGATTTTATACCTGAACTGAATGTCCAGTGCTTAGACTTGGTCAGCTAGTCCCTGAAATAAGGAAAAGATTAAGAGGAAAAAGATTAAGCCAATACAAAAGGCACATTATTTTGTGTGAACCTAAACAGGTTTTTTTGATTAATCCTTACTTCGAAGGTAAAGTCGCTTTATTTCTAGGGAGGAAGTGTGGCTCGGACTTGAGCGCTCATTTTGGGGGATTCTGGTCCTGAGTAGGTAGGGCTGTTGTTTCTGTGCTCCCGATGGGACTCCAACAAGCTGAACTCTGGATTCAGGAGATGGGTGAGATGCTAAGGATGCCCAGGCCGGCCTTCAAACAGAGATGTGACCTGGAGCTTCTAGAGAGCTCTCGGGGAGCGGACATCCCCCACCTCTTTACCCCTGTGACCCCCTCACCTCCTCACCCCCTCACCCACACACCCTCTCCCCTGTGATCCCACACCTACTCACGCCTGTGACCCTTCACCCCTCACCACACACACCCTCTCCCCCTGTGATCCCACACCCTTCACCCCGTGACCCCTCACCCCTGTGACCTTATACCCCCTCACCCTGAACCCCCTCCCCCTGTGACCCCACACTCCCTCCCCCATGTGTCCCCTCCCCCCTGTGACCCCTCCCCCCATGATCCCACACCCCTCTCCCCGCACCCTTCCCCCCCCCCGTCCTGCTGTGCACCCTCGGGGAGGAGGAGGTATGCTCTGAGAGGCAGAGGCTGAAGCAGGCCGTCCTGCAGGATGCCTGGCCCACCTGCAGCACCAGGTGCTAATGCAGGTGTGAGTGACAGGAGGGCGGGGCGTGCAGGTGTGACAGGAGGGCGGGTGACCGCAGGCGAGGGCACCGCCCCCCATCCTGGGACTGAGCCCCTTTGGGGAACGCAGGGCCCTCTGGTCTTAGTCCTCAACCGCTGCGGCCGGCTGTGGGGTGGAGCCTCCATCACCGCACTGGCCGCCCCCAGAGGTGACTGGTCAGGTGGGCGAGCTCTCAGACCCCCGGGGCTGATCTCAGATGCTGCCCGCGGTGCCCAGCCAGGGGGCACAGAGGGCTTAGAGCCACCCCCGACCGGCAACTTCACAAGAGCTGCTCCGTGATCTCAGGCCATCCCAGGGAAGGGCCCGCGGGAGCACACGGGAGGTTTCCACTGGGCCGGGCTGGACCTCAGGGGCCGCCGTGCCCACGTCTCCCGTGGCCGCAGGGACTCCGGGTACGGCCCCCAACTCACTGGCTTTTCTTGTCTCTTCCCTCCCTGGTTCCTTTCATCTTCCGGCCTCTTTGCCCAAATCTTGTTTAACGATGTGCATGGCCTCCTGACCTCTGACCTCTGACCTCTGGGACCGGCAGACTAGGAACCAGTGCCTTTCTGTCGAGCAGCCCACCGTCTTTATGCTTTCTCAGACTTCCAGCAGTCTGACTTTCTAACGGAACAAGGTGACGCTTTTCTGTCTTTCTGCATGTTTGGGACTTGATCAGAGGACCACAGAGGGCTGACGGTTAAGCTCGGGAGCCGCACACACAGGCCCTCTGGGGCCGCGTGCGCCGGCCATCTCCACCCACATGGCCGCACTGGCCTCCCTGGGGAGGCTCAGCGTTCCTCTGGCTGGGTGGCAGCCATGAGGCCGGTCCTGTCTCCGCGCGGCAGGGGCAGCTGCTGGGTCAGCGCCGGCCTTGCCCTAGAGCCCAGAGGCAGGTCCTCCCTGTCCCTCGTGTGGGGCCCACAGGACTGGCGGGACCACAGCCCGGGGAGAGGCAGCCTCAGGCCGGGCCCCTGGACTGTGGATGGGACAGGTGTGTTTGGGGCCAACTGTCTCACCAAAGTCCCTCTTATCTTTGTAAAAATATCTGATTGTTTTTAGAAACAGACTCCACCTGTGCCTTAAACAGCATCTGTGGCTCTCTCAGGAGCACTGAGCGGTCACGTCACACCGTTTTCTGTGGCCGCTACCCAGGATGGAGGCTTCTCGCCTGGAGCCAAGGCTTCAAGGACACGCTTATCTGTTCTCAGTCATCTGTGTCCTGATGCCCCACTTGTGTGTCCCCATACTGGGCACACATTACTGCTTTACCAGGCAGCTTGCTTAATAGGAAAATGCATAAAGCAAAAAAAAAAAAAAAGGCCTTTTTTTTCTTTTAATAATTGTTCATCTTTTAAGTTCAATTAGTGGCAATCAAAATTTTTCTAATCTGGTGCATCAGAATTTATTAGAATAAACTACATAATATTATGTTTATGCACTTGAAAACATTTAGGATGAAATTATTAGGAACATTTTAATAAGTCACAGGAGGTGCTTGTGAAACCGGTTAAATCATGCCAACTCTGGGCTAAAGATAAACCCTCTGATGATTGATGGGGTGTATTGAGAGCTGGTTTGCTTCTGAGCCTTTGCAGAAGCCGGACTCTGCTGCCTGGCGCAGGGCTCTGAGCTCCGTGTGCCCGTGGCCGCGGCTGTGACGGCAAGGTGTGCCAGGGGTGCCTGCAGCCATTGCTCAGCTCACACGGGGTCCACGCGGTGTTGCTGCAAAACCAGACAATTTCGGCAAAACTTTGGAGGAACAAACCCTTGGCTAGTGCTTCCATGGAACATGCTGCATTTGAGATGGGTGGCTTTTTCTTTTCATCTGTCCAGTTAAAAAGATAACCACAGAGGCCACCAGGTCTCACATGTAAACATGGGTGTGTGCATACACATGTATGGCATCTATATATACATGTGCGTGTATTCTGTCCACACCCGTGTGCACGCACAGCTGTGTGTGCTTCCTGAAAAGAGCCACCGCCCGCGCGCTAGTCTGCTTTGCCTCGCCCCCTGCCCCTCGCGCCTAGCCAGGAGCACCTGCACCTCCACCCTGTGCTTCTCCAGCTCCTGCAGCTCCCTTCTTCCGAGGCACTGAGAAACTCATACCACTTGACTACAAAGCCTCAGTGTTCGGACTAGAAATGCCCGACCCGCCGGCCTGCGGCCCTGCCACGCCCCAACCTCCGGATTCTAGCTTCAGGCCAGGATTCTTTTGTTTGTCTGGAGATGGGGCCAAGGGACAGGGCCAGGCAGGCACACAGGGACAGAGGGACAGACAGACAGGCAGGCGGGTGGACAGGGATGCAGGGACAGGCAGGTGCAGACAGGGACAGGCAGACAGACAGACAGGGACAGGCAGGAACAGATGGACAGGCAGATACATACAGAGGGACAGGAAGGCAGGCGGACAGACAGAGACAGGCAGGTGCAGATAGAGGGGCAGACAGGCAGACAGAGACAGGCAGGTGCAGATGGACAGGCAGGCGGACAGGCAGACGGGGACAGGAAGGCAGGTGGACAGGCGGGAGAACAAACAGGGACACAGGGACAGGCAGGAACAGACAGACAGGCAGGTGCAGACAGAGGGACAGGCAGACGGACAGGCAGGTGCAGACAGAGGGACAGGCAGACAGAGTGCTCCTCGCTGGGGCCTGCGCGCCCTCAGGAGCAGTGCCCTTTCCGGACGGTCGGGGTGAGTGGCAGGGCCGTCAGCCCCGGGCCCCGCGCCCCGACCATCGCCGCTCCCGCGCTGAGAGCCGGGCCTCCCCGCACGCGTACCCCTCGGCCTTCCCCGCGGAGCCGGGCGTGCGGCGCGGGCTCAGTGTCTGTCCTCGCCTTGCAGAGGAGCCCGAGCCGCCCAGCCCCGGCCGACGCTGCGCCGAGCCCCGACCGGCCGCTGCTGACGGACCGCGAGCCCCGGCCGAGGCGCGAGTAGCCAGAGGATAGGTAACGGCCGCCCGCGGGCAGCCCGTGTGCTGTGCTCACTTGCGGACCGCGCGGGCTTCCTCCAGAGCTGCTCCGTGCGGTGCCGTTTGTTAGGTTCACGGTGGCAGAGACTTGCCCACACGTGGGGTCCGTCCCCGGTAAGTGGCCCACCGGAGAGGCCGGCCGCCTGGGGCTGCCTGCGGTGCACACCCAGGCACGCGTGTGAGCGTGCGTGCACACACACACCTGTGCGGTGCGCAGGCCCACAGCGTCTTTCGGCGCCCGAAACACGGCCTTCATTCTCATCCGCGGTGGTGGGCGTGGCTCCACCTGAGAGGTCCTCCCGGAGAGACCCCCTTTTGGAATAAACAAGGGGATCTGAGCCAGGCCGGGGCAGGCGTCCAGCTGCGCCTTCAGCATCCAGAGCGGGCATCTCCGGGCCGGCTTCCCCCTCTCTGCCCATCCAGTCTGACCATCTGTGCCTCCGACCGCGGCCGGAGCGGTCCAGCGAGATGCGCGGTGGGAGGAGCCGCACTCAGCCTGGGGTCCGGGGAGGGGCCTCGTGTTTACACACCTTTCTGCGGGACTCTGGACGCGAGGAGGGGACGGATGGTTCACACGCCGCCCCCGTGTCTGGCCCGGCTATGCTCGGGGGCGCCCCTGCCAGGGCAGCAAGGGCCGCGGCTGCGCTGGGTTCCGACGGGCGTTGGACGCGGTCCGCGCAGGGTCCCGGGACTGACTCTGTCCTTTCTGTTTCCGCAGACCTCGCGCTCCGTGTCAGGACCACCTCTGGGGAGTTACCCACTTGCTTCTCTGTAGTCTCCAGCCCCGGGCAGCGCCCTGGAAGGCAGGGAACGCGGGGCCCCCCCTGCTCCGTCTCTCCCACCCTCGGCCCCAGGAGCGGCCACATGCAAGGGTCCAGCCGCGAAGGGCCGCGTGGCCTGTGCTGCTCTTGCGGCCAGGGGAGCAGGAAGACGGGACAGGCGTCCCTGACTGGCGACCGGGAAGGACACGCACGAGCCCGCTACCCTCCCCGGCGCCGTGGCGCCGGGAGGACTTCTGCTCGGGGGTCTCGGTCCGCTCCAGGCACGGCCACCACACCAGGACCTCCGGGGAGCATGGCCAAGCCTCGCAGGCGGGGGTCCGGTCTGCTCCGTCCTCCCAAGCCCAACACTTCTGCTTTCGAAGCGGCCCGCGGACACCCCAGGACCGGCCCCCCGCCCGGTCCACGGCTGCCGCCCATAGCTGCGCGTGGCGACGCTGACCGCAGGGCGAGTGTGGCCCGCCCCCGCCCCTCCGGGGGAGGCGCTGCCCGCGTGCTCGGGGAGCCCCCTCTCTGTCCCCCGCTGCCTCTAGCGGGGCCTGGCCCGTAAAGCACAGGTTCTGAGAGGTGCCCCTTCCCGCTCCAAGGGCGCAGGCGCGGTTTGCTGTTGTGGGAAGGGTGTTTCGGGGTTTGCGGGGACGCGTGGGGTTTGGGTGCCGGGGGCCGGCCTCTGCTGCGGTGCTCAGACCCCCACGGGGAGCGGCCTCTCGGGCGCGTGGGCCCCCATTTCCGCGCCGGGCTCAGGGTCTCCGGGGCGCCCCGGGAGACCCAAGGCAATGCCGCCGCCCGCAGGCAGCTGCGCGGTAAACCCTGTCGCTCTCCTGTAACGGAATCTCCGTTTCTAGAAATAACCCGTTCGACGTAGCCTTAATGGTCCGTTGAGGCAAACATTTCAGTTTGAGGTCCAAATTTCAGAAGGTACACCGACGGCGTTTTAGGGGAGGGTCACCCGGAAGTAAGCGCTGCCCCCGCTGGATGCCCTGCGGACCGAGGCCGGGTGCTGAGCCCGCCGGGGCCCGCCCCGCGTCGCCCAGACCGCGTGGTTCGCTGGCGTAGTGCTCACCTGTGAGCCTGATTTGAACGAGGGGAGGAGCTGACCGCAGGAACAGGGCGCCCAAGTGGCGCGGAGGAAGCAGGCAAGCACACGCTTACCAAAGACTGGGGTGAGGCCGGGGTGGGGGCGTCCTCCCGAGGGCCCGCCCCTCTCGCTGTTCCTCACGCCCGCGGCCTACGTGTGGCCCACACTAGACCCTGCAAACAGCGGCGTGTGTGTTTTTACAGCCGTTTTTAAGAGCCTAAAATGGGTATAAATGTCATACCTGTGGGGGGCAGATTCTCTGTATGTTTAGTTAACAAATTCTTTGTAATGTATTTTTTTAGAGATCTTAAAATTGCCTTTGCACTGAAGTATTTTCATAGCTGTTTATATCTCTTTTATTCCTTTATTTGTTAACGTACCATATCTAATTTTTAAAGTATGTTTTTAAAGCTTTTATTTTTTAAGTTGAAGACATTTTGGCCACTTTACATTTAAATTCTGATGAACGTTTTGGCTGAATGTCTCAATATCTGATGAATGTGAATTTTCAGATTTGACTTTATTCTCTGCACCTGTTTTGTTTTTGGTGTTTCTGGCAGTAGCGAGTAGTTACAAGGCATAGAGTCTGATCATTTGCTCTGCTCTTTCTTCACCATTCATTGCAATTTCATCTGCTTTTTGTTTAGTTTTTAGTTTCTATCCTTCAGCCTTAAAATAGGAGCTTCTTGACGGTTCACTGTCTCCTTTCTGCCTGTATCCAGACGGTTATCACTTACCTCGGATAATTCAAGTCTCCTTAGGACAGTTACTGACCATTACGCGCCCCAGTATGTCTTCTTAAAATTGTTTGGGAAGTTCCTCAGTGACTGCGCCTGAAAATGTGAGATGGACCAGGGGCATGAGACCAGAAGCCAGGGCGGGACGGGGAACCAGGGAAGGGACATTTCAGACAAGACAATGCGACTCCCACCTGGCGGTGGGCAGTGCTTACTTGCCTTAAACTGACCTTAGAGCAAGTAATTTAAGCATCTTCCTTAGTTTTGAAAATCTTACAGCTGCACAATAACCATGTTATCTCCCTCGTTGGTCCGGATGTCTGGTTCCCGACCCCCACGCCATCCCCCTGAGCTAGCTGCCTGTGGGCCCTGTAGCTCCGGCCACGCCACCGGAGGAGACCCGCCCTCGGGACCACCGCCAGACCCTCCCAGCTGCGGCCACATCCCGGCTGGAAGAGGAGACGCTCTCTCGGCCACTCCTGTTAGAACCCCAGTCAGCCCATTCCGGTGCCCTTAACTCCCAACATAGACCAAACGACCCCCAGAGGCGCGGCCCAAGAGGCTCACTGGGGGCAGAGCTTCCGCAGCCACAGGTCGCAGCCGCCTAGTAGCCTCGTGAGACTTTGCAGCTTGAATGACAGCAGTGCCTCGCACACAGTTTAACTATTCTTAAATTCATGGGCATCAACCAAAAGTTCAGGGCAACCTAAGGGAAGTTTCCGGCCTTTTCTTTAAAACCACTAAGTTCATCTGTTTTGCACTGATTATGAATAACCTAATACAACCACTTCTGCTTATCTTAATTAATGGTATTTATTTAACAACTCAGTGTAACAGCTTGGTATGCACTTTCTTTTGGAAGTTTCCCATTTCTAACTTTAAAAACAGGAAAAATGTCAGCTGGCAAATGCATTCATTCTGTTGTTTTTTTTTTTTTAATAAGTTAAAGTGTAGGTGAATGGGGGTGAGAATCATTTTGATGTCTATAAACAAAGCTTTAATGAAGATGTGTCGGAGCATTATTAAAGTATGATTCTACTTTTGCAGAAAAAAATCTAAAGATCAGTTTATATAGCTTTATTTTTTACCTTATCAAAATATACAGAATTTTAATATGCATATATTGTCTCTGACTTAAAATTATGTGCGTCTGCATTGCTGTTTAAAATGTTCATTCATTATGTAATGTGATAAAAGAGAATCTTCGAAAATATATTTAACACAAATGTATCTATAGGTATTGTCATCATAAATACTGGAATTTATTTTTAAATTATTGAATATAGTAGGTGTGTTTAAGATAATAAATCAACCTCTGAACAGTAATGTTTAATTGATAATTTATTAATCTGCTTTGAAAAATTAAATGGTGAATTAAACCAAATCTTAAATTTCTGTAAAATTTATTTTGTATGCTACTGTTTTTTATTTCTGTAGATAAAGTATATCTTCATAACATTAATTATGATTGGACTTTTCTGCAGAATATCTAGGCAGGAGACCTGAATCTGCTTGCAATAAAGAAGAAAAAGTTCTGATTTAGTCTCTTTATAAATTAAAAAGATCATGGAAGTTGGTATTGAGTTTCTGCTAAGACGAGCTGCCGGGTAAACACTCTTCCAGCGAGTGTTTCTGTTTGGGATGAAGCCAGGGGAGCAGCCTCTCAGGATCGTGTGGGGTGGGGTGGCCTTGGCCCACACCTGCACCGCCGGGGCGGAGGGCACAGAACAGGACACTCAGCGCTGCGCCCTGTCCTTCCCGCTCCAGCTGCCCCCGACTGTCCGCCAGACCCGCCCCCCGGGGTCTCCTCCGCTCCTCCTCTAGTCCAAACCCCGGCCCCCACCCCCCAGGGCTCCCGGGCAGTTTGGAGAGGGTCCTGCCCTGCCCCAGCGGGTTCCTCCAGGCCCCGAGAGTCCCCCTGGCACGGGGCCCAGCAGCTCTGCCCCCCCCAGCCCTGCCCCCTTCGTCTGCTGGCCCCTGCCACCCCTGCACAGCCTGTCTCTGAAAACTGACCCCCACACACTCAGATCCTCACAGTCTCATTCCTGGGATTCTGACTCATTTGGGGGACCAGGGTGGACCCTGAGAAAGGGCCTTGTTGGGCTGGGGCAGGGTGGCCCCTTCAAGGCTGACGGGTCCCTCAGAAGGCCTCTGGCTTCACCAGGCACAATTCTAAAATTGGGGGCTTTTTCCCGGCTTCCAAACCACAAAGCAAGGGCAAGCAACTCACCCCGAGTGGGCGACCTTGGCTGCCACAGACCACACAGCGGCCAGCACGCCAGTCTACAGGAAGTAGATGCCGCAGGTGAGTCGGGTCCCAGTTGTGCTGTCTGCCGGGGTCCAGCGTCCACACCTGCCTCGGGTGACAGGGACCTGTGGCCACGCTGACCCTGGCAGCTAGGAGAAAAATGCTTGCCTTTCAAGTGAGTGAGGGCACCCCGGCCCGAGGCTGTGCGGGTGTGAACAGCCGGCTCCCACCAGTGTGCGTGTGCACACAGCTCTTCATTCCACTGGGCTGGGTCCCAGTGTGATCAACATCTGCAATTATTAAGCTTCCTCTTTCAGGGAAAAATCTTAGAAATAATACGCAATTTATCAGTTCCTTTCTTGCACTAAGAGGATACCCCTAAAACTGCATCATCATATTAACTTACCAGGTTGTTGTATAAAATCCGCTTTTTGTTGCATGTCACAGCACGACTGAGAAATAGTTCTCTGTTGTTGTGTCGGCTAAGAGAAGGGGTTGAAACTGGTTTTTGGAGTTGCAGTCGGCTCATGAGGCACTCCCTCTTTGAGCTTTTTCATCTTTCCAATCTGCTTCAGGTGCTGAGCGGCCACAGAATGGTGGATGTTGGGTTCTTTGGCAACTTCTTGTGTCCTTGTAAGAGGATCAGCTTCAAAGATGGTTCTCACTCAGCTGTCCCTGTCGGCTTCCGATGGCTGGCCGCTACGCTCCTCAGCGTCAAGGCTCATGTCAAGGCTCGCGTGAGCCTTGATGCAGAACCCCCTGACCCCCCACTGCGCTGCATGTTCATTAGCAGCTCCTGGGCCAAATGCGAGTTGTCTCCGCTGCTTTACAACCCACTTTGAATTCAAGAAAATCACTGGAATTTGCTTTTTTGTCTAACATCATTTCCATAGACTAAAATAAATATAAAATAAACAGCAAGTAATAAGGTGATAGCAAAAAACATAAATCGAGAAATACACATTAAAATGTTGTATCACATAGTCACATTTATTAAGAATGTATTCCAATACCAAACAGCCAATTTCAACAATGTAAAACCGCAATTACTTTTGCACGAACCTAAACAGTTTGCTAGTGTCGAGAGCAGGCTGAAATGCAGACCAGACACGAACTTGGCAAATGAAGCCGCCTGGCGTCATTTCAGGGCGGCTCCGGAGAGCGCCCGCACCACGGGCCTTTAGGTCTCAGCGCCGAGGAGAATTCAGTGAGAGCAATGTGGCCGGCACGCGATTTACTAGAACAGGATGCTCCTGAGGCTTACAAGCGGGCGGGCAAGGCTGGGAGGCTCTGAGCACTTAGGGGGCTGTGGTTTGTAATCAAAGGAGGAGTGGAGAGGAGGGGAGGACCTTGTCTTTCCCCAGTAGACGTCCTGCTGCCATCAGCTCCTCCTCCAGACTGGGTGGGAGAGTTTTCTTGTCTCTCCGTGGTCAAGCGAGGTCCACAGATGACTGTTTCGCAGGCGTGCAGAGAGCGTGGCCCAGGGA